CCAAATGCCAATAAATAAACCCGACAGTAAACCGAAAAATAAACCACAAATAAAGGGCCACATAAAACAGGGATATTTTACAAGATTTTTGTGTCTCCTGTTTCGGCAATTTCATAAATATTTTATGAGCTTAAAGTCGCCTGGCATCCGATGTGTGTGGGGGCGGGGGCGGAACTTTTGGATGGAAAATTCATTAAACAGGAATAAATGAATTGCGAAGCGGCAGCCTGGAGAACTTTTATCCTTAGTTTAGCAGGGGGCAGAGGGGTTGCGGGGTTCAGGCATTTATGAACAAATCAGGGAAGAAATGCCACAGTTTTTCCTGCCTTCTTTCCTTTATTTTTCCATCATAAATCCTCATGCCATCCGTCATTCGTTCTGCTCGGATCTGATCTGTTGTCATGCCTCCTGCATGATGGCCATCGGGACTGTCATTGTGTTAATTTTAAGGCTGAAGCCTCACAGAGCCATTAAATTTAATGTCCTTGCATTTCGTTTGATGGCCCTCGCCCACGCAGCCTCCTTACCCCCCCTTTTGTGTGTGTGCGTGTCATTTCCCGGTTTTCCCGATAAGAAAAAGAGACGAATAAAACAGATGTCACCGGTCCGGAGGCGCCTCTTCCTGCCCCTTGGAGCGTGGGCCTCGGCGTCAACATTTTTCATGCTTTTTCCTTGTGTACATTTTGTTAAACTCATTTTCCGACTCTGCTTTTCATGTGCACTCTTTTGTGGCGTTAACTGCACGTGCCACCATTTTTACTGCGCTTCCTCATCTTTTTGTTTGCCCCCCCCTGAACCGTGCGGGTGGGGGGGAGGGTGGGAGGCAGCGCACCTTTTGATGGAAATTTTCCCTTTTTAATTTCTTCTTTTTTTCTCCATCACCTTTTTTTTTGTCGGCACGCCTCTATTTGCGCCCCGCCCTGCTCTGCCACGCCTATCATTATCTTGTGGGGGGGGGGGATGGGTGCAGATATCACGCGACTCACTTTGCCCGAGCTGAGGACACGCCTGCGAGCCCTCGGACTGAGTGCAACGGGCAGGAAGCAGGCGCTAGTCGAACGCCTAACAGCGACCCAGGCAGGTCCCACGCCCCCCCGAGCAGCCTCCCCTGCGGAAACAGACTCCAATTTGTCGATGATGGAGGTGACAGGTGGCGGGGGCCAGGGCCCTGGCGCTGGCGCTGGCGCTGGGATGCCCGGGACGGCAGCAGTGGCAATCTTGGCCGTGCAGCAGCTCGTAAATAATTCGAACACGAGCGGGAGTCCTGCCCTCGACAGCCAGACTGCAGCACAGCATGGTAGGTAGCACCCGAGGAACAGGACTACGAGGAGCACAGGAATGCCAGTGTCCGCCAATCAAGTACAGGGCGGCGCACTTTCGTGTCTTTGGTCGGGTCTTTCTAATCCCCGAAACCCCAGCGACTTACCCGCTAAATGGCCTTGGCTCCGGCCTGTCCTGTCCGGGCGGCTGGAGCTCCCCTTTGTTTTTATCGTTCAATTAAAGCGTTTGTTCGTTTATTTTTTATTGTATTTTATGCCTGTTCTGGCTGCAGCTTGGGGCTTGCCTCGTGCTTCGTAGTTCGTACTGTATTATGCATTTAAGGCTGGCCAACAGCTCAGCGACTGCGCTGCGGCTTTATAATTTGATTTAAATGCAGAGGCACGCGGCATGGCCACACACACACACACACTCGCACACACTCGAAGGGAGGCAGAGAGAGAGCGAGAGAGACAGATCCTGTGGCAGTGGCACGCGAATCTTGCTGAAAATGTGGTACCGACAAAAATTAAATCACAAAAAAATATGCAAACACGGAGGCGGCCACAATTCCTGGCATTTTTAATACTCCACAAAGGACAATTTTTGCATGTGTGGCAGAAAACGGAGGCAGAAGCGGGAGGATGGAGCAGACAGCTCTTGCTCATGTAATCACACACACACACACACACACACACCACACACACGTGGAAAGAAGCAAAAGTCAGGCACACATTTGTCGGGGGCTTTTTCCGAGATTGCAAACTCAACGGGAACGGAGGGGCGTGGTGGGGAGGGGGAGGGGAGGGGAGCGGCCGGAAGCGCCACCTTATCGGAGAAAATGAAACTTAAGTGCTGGCATAATCATTCCTATTCCTGTTGCTATTTCAGTGCCTAGAAAGGGTGGCCCTGGGTGCCACCTTCGCTCTGGCTCAGAATTCCCTGCAACTTCTGATTCCATCCAACTCTTGGCTCCACCCTGACTTCTGGCTTCTTTCTGCGAATAGCCCCTGACTTCTGAATCGTTCTACGAATAGCCCCTAACTCCATAATCCTTCTACGAACAACTCCTGCTTTCTGACTCCTTCTGCGAGTAGCCCTTGACTTCTGAATCGTTCTACGAATAGCTCCTGACTACTAACTCCTTCTACAAGTTACTCCCGACTTCTGACTCCTTCTACGAACAACTCCTGCCTTCTGACTCCTTCTGCGAGTAGCCCCTGACTTCTGGCCCATTCTACGAATAGCCCCTAACTCCAGAACTCCTTTTTCAAGTTACTCCTGACTTCTGGCTCCTTTGTTGCAATTAAATAAAAGAGTGTGCTACTAAATTTAAATAAGAGTTAATTGCAAGGGCTATGGCCAACACACACACACAATAACAAGGAGAAATGGCAGAGAAAGTCCTGTTGCCGAGACTCCAGCACTGAATGCCCTTGCAGATCCTTTCTGTTCACTCCTTTCGGCTCAATGAGAAATATAAACAGGCTCTGCTTCCTTTTTATTTGTTTACATCTTGTGGGGGTTTGCACGAATTTCTCCAAGAATCAAAGGGGATGTTTTGTTCTGGAACTTCTTCCTTAAAAAGATTGATATTTGTGCCCTGCTTTTAAACGATTTTTGTGATATAACGACTCCAGTGAGTATTGAGCGGCGAAAACTGAAGGATTTACTCCATATAGATCTCTGTTTGAATGAAGGATTAATCTTCCAAAAAGAGTCGGCAAGTTCTTGCCGTTTTCCTGCATTGCCAAACCCCTGCACACGATCGGCAGAGCCCACCGAAAGGGTACCAAAGGAGCCCCTTAAAAAGGAGTTTTCTCGTTATAATATTGTGGGCTGGGGGCTGATTGCCGCTTGCATTTCCGCCGACGCTGCCAGCAGGCGGAAGCGGTCGCAGGGCCACACTTCACCTCCCCTGCCCGGCCCTGCCACACTCTGCCCTCATTTTGAGTGGCAGCCACGTGTTTCAGCCACACATGCAGCAGAAGCAGCAGGGGGTGTGGGCCGTGGGGGGGTGGGAATTCCATCAGGAACGTACTCGTACGAGTATGCTTGACACTTGTTAGCCCTGTTTTGGCAGGGATGCGGAAACTGCCTATTAAGTTTTGATGAGGCAAAGTTGTTGTTGTTGTTGCGACGCCCTATCAAAGGATGTGCCCGGACTGCTGCCTGACAGGACAGGGTATTATCAGTGTTGGCACGTCGTCTGTGGCAGAGGTACGACGGTGCTGAGGCACGGAGGCACGGAGGTGCGGTACGGGAACACAACCGAAAAACCCCACAACAAAATCAGTGACAGACCCACAGAGAAGTTTTTCTTCCTTTCCCCGTGTGTGTGTGTGTATCTGTATCTGTGTGCGGCTCTGTGGCATGTCATAGTTTGTAAATTAAACTTTTTCAGCGATGTTATCTGCTCCGTTCTGCTGTACGTTGGATGTGTGTGTGTGTGTGTGTGTGTGTTTTCTGGGGGCATGCCACACAGAGAGTGGAGTTGAATTGAATTTTGCAACGCGGGCTGGGGATGTTCTCCTGCTGTCGGTTATGTCAGCGACTGTACTGTGCCACAAGTTAATCAAATACAAAAAAGTCTCTGTGGCACGGTCAGCTGTGATTGTTGTGATTGTTCTGATTGGGCTTTCGTGTTGTGTGGCTGTGCTGGTTGCTGCCACGTACACACAAAGAAAAGAAAACACGCCGGAGACCACACACCGTAGAGCACGGAGCGAGAGATCGGAGACGGAGAGCAGACGTCTGCCAGCGCGAAAATCTGAAAGTTAACTGAAAATTATAACAAAAATCTCAAACTATCAATAAAAGAAGAAGCGGCCAACGGCAGAAGCGGCCAAACAGAAGGCACAAGGCAGAAGGCAGAAAAAGAAAACATAAAATGTTTAAAATCCCAAAAAATCAAAGTCCATGAAAATAATCATCATAGAAGAAGCGAGCGGCACAGAGCCGCACAGAGCCGCAGAGCCATGGCCATAACCACTACCAGCAAAACCATTGCGATGGCGATGGCGATGGCTAACACACTAGTTACCCACATTTGGCGCCGACTGCAATTGCTAATGGGTTGAACAGACCCAGACCCAGGCACTGGCACTGGCACCGGCACCCTCCCGCCGAATCTTCATTAGAAGAGGAGCCACATCCAGCAGATTGGCGTGTGGTGGTTGCATCTTGGCTGCTGGCTGCTGGCTGCTTGCATGAGTGGCAGCGATACAGATAGATGGATATACTCGTATGTTTGTGCTACTTCATGGCTGCATAAATCCCACATGCGACAAAGTGAAAACTTTTCACTCCGAAATGAAGCTGTGCCTCTGCCTCTGCCTCCGACTCAGGGAGCGGGTAGCAGGGGGGGGCCCTGCTAATTGAATTGTTTGTCATCTGGCAGTACGCTTATGGTGTGTGTCATCTAGATCATACGGTAGACAATAACTGGTGTTGCCGTTGCAGCCTGTCTATAGATCCCCAGGTATATTGCACTCTTAGCCGTCGTCATGCCTCGGCGGACAATGCGAGCGCCTAACTGCATTCGACTTGCAGCAGCGGCAGCAACGGCAGCAACGGCAGCCCACTCGATGAGCAAATAACCTTGAGTGGCTTTTGATTAATTAAAACAAAAGCCGACAACTGTGCTCCACATTACAGAAACCGCTAAGAAGGGAGGGAGTACGAGCCGGCTGTACGCCAAAACCAACAGCAGATAATCCAGCAATCCCCCTCTCTCGTTTCAGATGACATCTTCGTGGAGTACGTGAACGGTATGCCGCACATGACCGTTCGACTGCCAAGTCGCAACGAATTATGTCAGTTCGCCCTGAAACCGATCACGCACAACGTGGGGGATCTCCTGTCGATGCTGAGGCAGGAGGACCGGGGCATTGACCGGGCGGCGGTGATCAACAAGAACGGAGTGCGCATCGCCTCGTCCTGCACGATCGACAGCCTCCTGGACGATACATTTAGGTGAAGTAGCGTGCTCTGCTCTCACGAGTGCCCCTGCTAATCCATCCCCCTAATGTACTACAGCATACAAATCAACAATCGGACTATGGAAGTGAATCCACCGAAGCGCGACAAGATCACAGTGGAGTCCATGGACAAGGTGGGCGACGTGCGTAAGGTTATTGCTCAGGTAAGATACACACACACATATATCCCCATTAAGTGTGGCTTTTAATGTGTGGCCATAACTCTCTGTTGGCAGCTCTATGAGGCATTCAACGTCGGCGAATATCAGCTGGAGAAGAGCAATCAACTGGCCAAGGAACTGGAGAGCATACGCTACGAGCTGGAGCCCCTCGAAGAGGTACGATTCCATTCTGCGAGCGACTTCCACACGTGCGAGTGTTCCCATTGTTCTCCCTCCACTTGCAGAAAAAACTGGAGCTGAGCAGAAAGGCCGCTCGTCGCACCAACTTCATGACCTGGATGGGTCTCGGCCTGATGTCCGTGCAGTTCGGCATCCTGGCCCGATTGACCTGGTGGGAGTACTCTTGGGATATCATGGAGCCGGTCACGTATTTTGTTACCTACGGCACGACAATGGCCATGTATGCCTACTATTGTGTGACCAAGAGGGTAAGCGGGGCCCAGAGGATGGGAGCCACGGGAGCCACGGGAGCCATGATACTACATATGTCTCTTCCCCCTAGGAGTACATGATGGAGGCTGTGAAAAACCGCGAATACTCGCTGGCCATCTACAAGAACGCCAAGAAGATCCAGTTCGATGTGGATCACTACAATCAGCTGAAGCGCAAGACGGCGGAGCTGGAGTACAATCTGAGGAGGATCAACGATCCGCTGAACATGCAACTGCCGTCGCATCTGGTGCGCACCCAGGAGAACACGCCCCCGACCGAGGAGCAGCAGCAGCGGCAGCCGGACGACCCCAGGGAGGGTAAAAGTAACTAAGGACATGGCTGGACTTTGCGGCAATCAGCCGCAGGAGGACACCGAAAGAAGGAAATGAAACTCAAACTAATTTTTAAATGAAAAATAAAGGCCCCCCCCACCCCCGACCCCCACACTTAGCAAATGTTCAGGGTGCAACCCCCCCTCCCCCCAGCAAGCACAAAAACTCTTTGGGAGTTTCCCCATTTTGTATGTTAACTAAAATGTTTTAGTTTTTTATGCCCATGCTTATAGTTAATTAGCGTAAGCCCAAGAGTGGAACGCATACTTAAATGTCTGACGCAGGCCCAGTTGTAGAGCTTACTTTATGTTTAATCTTTATTTATTTTAGTGCAAGAGATCGAGATTTGTTTTATGCCCAAGGCGCCCCAGTCTACTCTACCCCTATACTCTACCATCTGTGTGCAAAGTTCTAGTAAAATATATGATTTATTTATTGACTATTTTTTGCATATTGAGTTTTTCCTTTTTTTCGTTTTCGTTTTAGCAGAAACATCCAAGATTACCTTTTGGGGAATCCAACAGTAGCTTGTAGTCGAAAATTGTGGGCGGGGAATGCCGCTAAGAATTTCCACAACAATTTACAACGATAGTTATCAAACCGTATAGAGAGATACATTATAGAGATACACAAACACAGAGATGATCAGCATACTGTGGTCCAATCTACTCGTATCAGTGAAAACTCATGAAAACTCATCCAGTGAACTCTACTAACTCTTCATAAGCTTTAATCTAGCATACTATATATACTATAAACTATACAAGTACATATACATATACATATACTACCGTGAACCACTAGAGAACGAGAACAACAATTTGTACATAAAAACGCACCAACTATTCCATTAAGATTTTAGCAACAGAAACGGAAACAGAAACAGAAACAGAACAGAGAGATTCGTAGTTAGTAAAAGTTAACGAAATCCTAAACGTAATTTAGTAGATACGATTAGATATGTAAATATTATAAACTGCTGTGTTTCATGACAACGTAAACGATATGATGATGTGTGAGAAGAAGAGTCGCCAGTCGCCCCAAAAACGAGACAACATTTAGCTTAATATTAGTTTAGTGAGAGGCATCTACCCAAACTTGTACCGCAACTTACGCTTTCTTCAGAACTCTGCTCGGACTCTAGATGCGGGGCGATATGTACTTTTAAAACTTAGAAATTGCCAAAAGGTTGTGTTTGAGAACTGTTTGCCTGTGCTATACTATACTATACTATACTATACTACTATACTGTACACATCCCCAGGAATCCTACAAGCCAATCCGTAGACTACTCTACCTACTAGTACTATTCTCTGAAATTTACCTAAAAAAACCAACAAACACCCAAACAATCTCTACACCTGCATCGCTTTTCAATGCACTCACACATACACGCGGGATGCACACACACACACTAAATACTAACTAAAATTTGGAAAGATTAACTCTAGCCTAAGAAGCGCACTATCTATGCCTCTAAATACTTTAATGACATTTGTGATTCAATTTCAAATTATAATGGTGGAGACGATTATTTACTGTACAAATCGAACATTAACTTTAATCAAAAAACAAACAAGCGAAAACCAAAAAAAAACTAGCCCGAAACTAACTTTGAAAGTTTATGTATTTTTGCCTAATCCAAGTCCCAACTAATTAATGTTTATGTTAATTGTATCTAATGAATTATACACTTGAATTACCTCCTACACGGGTACGCGTATCTCTTATCCTATACACACACACACACACACACACATATATGTATGACATACGAGTATATGAATCTTAATCCTAATCAGCGCCAAAGACTTATGAAGAAATTTAACAACTAGTTCCCCAGTTACTCCCCCATACATCCATCCCCCCACCCCCCTTAATGCTCGTTCAAGTTTTTTAAGCCTTTACTATTTATACGCATAACGCATGATTATATAATTACCAACGATGCGCCTGAGGGACGGGGACAGTCCCTAGTTTTCTGCTCTCGAGGGGTGCATATATTTATAATTCTCAAGTACCTTCTTTCATAAAACATAAAAGAACAAGAAACAAAAGAAAAAAACTAATCTTAACTTACATCCTTTTTAACGAATTTAAATGGAATCCAACATTTAATTAAGTGCTTTAAGTAATCAAATTGTTTGAATTTTGTCTAAACAACAAAGTGAATTTTTTACATTTATAAAACAACCAAAATTCGTTACGAAAATTCCCAAGAAACCCAAGCTTAAAAACAAACAAAAACAAAATCAAATCAAGTAAAAAATATACAACATATGCGAGCGCAAACTGATAAAAGAACTAATACAAAATTAAAATAATAAAACAAAGTTATAAATTATATGATTTCTCTCGCATTTATTTGCTACTAAAACGCACAAAGGATAATCGCGGGAGTTAGGGAAGCCTTAGGCACTTCACAGAGGGGGAGTCTAAGGACTGCCCCTTCAGGCACAGCGTATCTCCAGCCTGTAGCACCGATCCGAGTCGGTGGCATTCCACCGGACCAACTCGGCAATGGGCCGGCTCGACTTGAGGAAGAGCGTGAGCCGTTCGTTCAGCTGCAGTGGCGAGAACTTACTGACAATCAGGGCCTTGGTGGAGTCGCGGTATTTGCCCACAAGCGACTCATTGCTGAAGCTGCGTCCCCGCTGGTCCAACAGCTCATACGTCTGGACGGCCTTGTTCTCCTCGTCATCGATCAGGCGATAGCTGGGCTGCCGGTACGGGTTGTAGCCCAGCTTCTTGCATATCTCCCGCACTTCATCCATGTTGGGCGGCGCGCTCTTCGGGAAGCACTTAGTGTGCCAGATACCATAGGTTTGCTCAATCACTTGTCCATACTGTGGGGCTATCTCCTTTGTGCTGAAAAAGAGAGTCCGATGCACATAGAATTGACTTGGATTTCGTTGGATATTTACTTGAACTGGCTGTATGCCCAGAAGTCCTTCTTTTGCTGCTGCAATGGATGCTCTATGCCAAAGCAGTATCGCTCATCTTCGCCATTGGGGCAGTCGGGCTCTTTATCACACACGAAATCACGTGGAATACAGTCCTCAGGGGATCTAAGAGTACCAGTCACTTAAATCTGAGCTTCCAATACAATAAAATTAATCGTTTAACTCACGAACTGCACTGGAAATGATCTGAAGTGCAATTGCACAGCACAGAGCTCTCATCGCTCTTGTCCCAGCAGTTTCGCTTGCCATCGCATATCTTGGAGGGATCCGTGGCTCTACAGATGAAAAGGGAAACATATAGCAGTGCCCATTCTGAGGTTAGTTTAGCTAGAGCTCACTGTAGATAAGTAAAGCAGCTGCAAATCGTCGGCTCATCTGTCATGTCCTCACAGTCAGGCACATGATCACAGAACTTGTTCTTCGGCAAACATTTGAAACTGGAGCGGCACTTCATCTCGCCCGGGGCGCATCTGTGCTTTAGCTGTCGACATTTTGCCTCCTCCTCATCGCTTCCGTCATGACAATCGGATCTATCATTGCAAATCGCCGACTGCGGCAGGCAAACGCCCAGCGGGCATCGATGGGTGCTGCACTCTGGCGGTGATTGTGGATTTTTGCAGTTGGGCTCATCTGTTGGGGTAGAGGATTAAAGTTTATTGGGTCCGGTCCGTAACTAGTAATTAGGTCCGCAAATAGCCCACCTATGCTGTCCTGCAGGGATTTGTAGGCCCGCTCCAGTGTCCCAATGCTGAATGGATGTTTGAAGCTCTGGCAATCGGAGTTGTTGTAGTTAAACAGAGCCGTGGGGAACCAGCCCGTGTGTGGGTCGCGACAGACAAGCACTCCCTGGTCGATGGGATTGTGGTGCGTGTCAGTGAGGTTCTTCAGGCCAAACTGATGGCAACTGGTGAACTTTGTGATGGCTGGGAGTTCTGTTGCGGCCGCACCGTTCATCAGCTCCACCTCCTCCGATATGGAGGCCATATCCTCGGCACTGACGTTCAGCAAACGCATTAGGTTCACTGGCGGCTGCTTCTCCTGCAGCTTATAGCACGACGGGCACTTTGGGTCATTCCTGATCTGTGTGATGGCAACCGTTTTAATTCGTCCCGTGATCTCGTCGTGCAGGACACTGATGCAATCCCGCAGAGCACTGCCATTATGGTGAGAGCTGCAATGAAAACAGCGATTAGGATAACTCCCTAGATGGCTGTTGAGCCACTCACCTGTCGGGCAGGAAGGTGGGCAGCACATGTTTGGTAAAGCGTGCGGGTTTCTCCAAATGAAACAGCAGCACATTGGACTTGGGCACTGCCTCAGAGCAGTCCACGCGCCGGATTTGCTCGTGATTGCTTCTGTGGAGGGACCGCTTCGTTTTGCCACCGCCCAGCAGTGCGCTAATGTAGTGCGTCTCGAGGCTAAAAGGGATTCACAAATAGGATATAAATGCATTCAATAGAAGTGTTTACTTACCTTATTCCCGAGAGGCAGCTCTCGTGGACCAGCAGCCAGTGCTTGTCGATAAGCACGCCAAGGCACCATAGCTCCCCATTGGCATAGACATCGGCCAGCCAGGGCCAGTGCAGCTCCTCGATGGCTTCGTGCAGCTGCTCGTTCACCAGCAGCGTCTTGTTCTTCTTGCTCTTGATTAGGTTATCCAAACGGTCGAGCACTTCATCCTTCTTGTTGACTATCATTGTGGCCGGCACTTGCGGCTTAAAGTGGACATTGGGTCGGTTGTGCGTCTCGATGGTGGGCAGTAGGATGGGCATCTGCTCCGCAGGCTTCTGCTTGACCGCCTGTCCCGCACTCAGCGTCTTCAGGGGCGTTGTCTGGTTGGAAAGGGGATTGCACTCCACATAGATACCCAGACACGTGCTGGGCAGCAGGCGGTCCTTCTCCGGTCTCGACGGCGAAAGCAGGCCCTGCTCAGGCATTGCCTCCTCGTTTTCCGAGAGCTGGTCGTTGTCATTGTCCATTGAGCGGAGCTCCACAACCAGCTGCGTCTTGCCCGGTAGCTCTGGCGTAATGGGATGCACATCCCGCTGGCTCACAATCTCCGAGCTGTTGAAGTAGTGGGCTCCCTTGAAGCCCAGCAGGGCGCAAACAGCATCCGCCGTGTTAGCCTGGTGCTCATGGTAGCCCGTCTCATGGGCGCACACTACACGCCACACGCCATGGGCGTTTTTGGAGAAGATTCCGGCGCTACTAAACTTGGGCTGCTGATGCACATCAAAGTGTACATCTTGGCCATTCGTCAGGGCAACTGTTTGGGGGGATACATGAGCTTCTTTCATCACGACTAATATTCTGTTCTCTCACTTACAGCAATCCTTTTCATCCTCCTTGAACTGGCAGTCCGCTTTCTTGTCGCAGCGCTTCGACATTGGCAGGCAGGTCTTGGACAATGGGCAGCGGAACTCATTTGTTTTACAGCCCACTGTTGGGATTGAAAGCAAATCTTAGACGGAACCGAATGGGAATTGGT